TCTCTGAGTTGGTAGCAGGTTTGTTTGTTGTTAGAACTGTAAAATTTAACCACTTTATGTCTTAGAGTTTGTAGCATAGGGGTTTTATTTTTTTCTGGTAGCACGTTTTGGATTCTCTTTCCATTGGCATTTTGTTTTCTGTGTTCAGAAGTTCTAGATGGTTTTCTTGTGTTATTTCTTGCATTATGTTCAGGTTTTTTTGACTTGCATTCTTCTGGAGATCTGTGATTTTTAAATTAGCTATAAGAATCCCTTCAGGTCAAAATGTTTTCCTTATATGTTGTTATTGTTCAGTTGTGTCTGACTCTTTGTGACCCTGGACCATACTGTCCATGGAGTTTTCTTGGAATGGTTTGCCATTTCCTTCTCCAGTGGATTGACAAACAGAGGTTAAGTGACTGAGGCTGGATTTAAACTTAGGTCTTCCTGACTCCATACCCAGCAGTCTATCTAATGAGCCCTTGTAGCCTCCTTGTATAGAGATCATTTTTCAGTTGCTTTAAATGTTGTTGCTTTTTGTTTTTCCAGCTTTGTCCTTGACTTCTATGTATTTGTGTTTCCAATCATTTGTTCTTTCTTTTGTTTCTATAGAGAGTTTTACAACTGAGAATTCAAGCTTTTCTATTCTGACATTTTTTTGGGGGGGGGCAGGCCATAGGGGAAGGTAGACTTATCTCTTTGAAATCATCCAGGAACATCTTGTGTTGGTTCCATGTTCTGTTGGAAATCCAACGGATCCTCTGTGTTGGTTCAATTTCCTTTGCCTTGCAATATATCTTCAGAGATGGTTGGACTTGTTTAAATAGTTTGGAGATCATATTACCTTCTGCTTTCATGTACTCTCTGTTGATTTTCTGCTTATGCTCAAGCTTTTTAGCCGAATTTGCAGCTACAGATTCAGTCTTTTTTCCTTATAGTCCCCTCTCACTTCTATCTGACTTCTTTCCCTTTGATGGTGAGTGGGCTGGGCTTCAGAGATGTCTCAGCCCCTTCCCAGGGAGAGGACATTTCAGCTTTGCTGTGCTTCTGCCACCCCTGCTGGTGGTGCGGGAAGGGAGGAAGGTAGGTAGAGTTTCTGCTGCTTGTTGTCACAGAATTGTGGAGTAGGGGTGGGGAGGGAGCACTTAGAACACTTTGGTGTCAGTTTTTCAGGTAGTTAACACCTTAGATTTCTTAGTGTTTTTACCTGTGAAGATAGCTGTTGTTCTTTTACCTTTTGGTCTGATTCTTATTTTGGTGAGTTTTGAGAGTCTAGCAGGATCACAGAAAATATCTAATTCTTCATCTTGTTGGGCACATAACCCCTAACAGGATTTTGGATTGTATTGTTAAAACAGTAGCTAGTGAACATTTAGAAAAGGAAGCAATAGTCAGAGAGTCGTCATGATTTTATCATGAGGAGGACATAAGAAGAGCATTATTTCCTTTTTTTTGGAAAAAAAAAACAAACAAAAACCCAAAACTATTCCTGAAGTGGTAGAATAGGGGAATATTATAGATATAGTTTACCTAGATTTTGGGAAAATATTTTGCAAAATCTCATGCTTTTCTTCTGGACAAGATGATGAGATATAAGCTATACAATAATAGACAGCATTTATTAAACTATTCTGTGCCAGGTACTGTTCTAGGTGTTGAGGTTACAGATATCGTGAAGGAATCAATCTTACATTTTAATGAGGAAGATAAGTACATCTATAGGTATATACAGAATAAATACGAAGAAAATAAAAGTAATTATATATAAGGAAATTTTGGAGAGATGGGAAGGAGAACATTCAGTTGGGGAGATTAGGAAAGGGTTCCTGGTAGAGATGATGAGTGCTTCAGTTGAGTCTTAAAGGAAGAGGTAGTCTGTGAATCAGAGGTAAAGAAGGATTGTATACTAGACATCAGGAATGGCCAATGCAAAAGGCCAGAGATGGAGGCAGAGTGCAGTATGTGAGGAGCAAAGAAAAGGACAGTTGAGCTGGAAAGGGGGCATTAATGGTCAGTGAAACTGGAAAGATAGGTAGGGGCCAAGATGTCCAATACTTCCAAAGCTAAAGAAAGGAATTTATTACTGCTAGAAAAAAATACAAGAAACTTACTGGAGCTTACTTTGTAGACAGTGACATGGTCAGATCTCCATCTCAGGAAAACCACTACTTTGGCAGCAGTGTGTAGAGTGGCCTGGAGTGGGAAGAGAACCAAGCCAGCGTTTAGGAAACTATTTTGCAATAAATTAGGTGAGGTATTAAGGACCCTGAACTAAGTTGGTGGTTGTGGGGAAGGAGGCTTAGATAAGAGAAAGTTGTGGAGGCAGAAATTACAAGATTTGACAGCTAATTGGATACGTGTATTGAGGGAGTGTGAGGAGAAGATAATGCCAAGGTTACAAACCTTGTCAATACAGGAAGAATGGGAAATTTGGAAGAGGGTTGAGTTTGAGGGGAAGGATAATGAGTTCTGTTTCGGACATTTTTTAGTTTGAAGCATTTCTGGCATATCCAGTTAAAAATGTCTAATAAGCATTTGGGCATGTAGTACTGAAGCTCAGGGGAGAGACTAGGGTTGGCTATGTAGCTTTCTGAGTTATCTGCATATTGATGATAAGCTCGTAGGAGCTGATTAGGTAACTAAGAGAATTAGGTTGATTTTAAACTATTTGTCAGGACCCGAAGAGTAGTTATTAATGCTTTGATGTCAGCTTGGAAAGAACTGTTTATGATTGTGTTTTGTATAACACATTTCATCAGTGATCTGGATTAATTTGTGGATCAGTAAATCAGCCAATAGGTTACTGTGTGCTAGATGCTGGGAATACAAAGCTGAAAGAAAAAAACCAGCTTTGCCCTGAGGAGGAGCTTGCATTTTGTAGGGAAAGACCATCTGTACACTTGAATGTATATGGAATGAGAGTGAGAAGGCTACTTTTATAGTGACTAGAATGATAAGATGACATGCTTCTCAGATTTGCTGTTAACACCAAGCTACATGGGATAGCAAACACATTATGACAGTCAGGATCCAGACAGGATCCAAAATGATCTTAACTGGCTAAAATGTTGGATTGAATGGAATAACACTAAAATGAACAACTGGTAAAATGTGTTTGAGAATGAGATTTGAGGCGTTGAACTATGTATTAAAATATTCAAATGGCTTGGGATAGATTTTATCCAGCAAGGAGTAGTAAGAATGTATTTACTTGGAGTCTTGCAAATATAGTCAAAAGGGCTTTAAGTTGCAAATTAAGGGGGAGGAAGAAAATTATATAATGTAGTTTAGTGGATACATACAGACTAGCTATGATGTAGGAGGAAGAATAGTATTGAGACACAGCATTCACAGGAACCAAATCCAAAAAAATAGTAACATTTATGGCCAAATGAACTGGAGTTTCCTAATAGAAGGTGTTAAATCTCATAATGCTTGGTAGGCTTCACTGAGAGTTGCTGGAATAACTAATTATAGCTCTGAACATATATGCCTTCTTTAGATAGCACTGTACATAACAAAGATATGCTTCCATATATGCCAAATATTAATAGCAACATTTTTGGTAGTGGTAGAGAATTGGAAACAGTGGATGCCTACAAATTGGAGTATGGCTAAGAGAGTACATGGACATAACGAAATTAACTATACTCTTAGAAATAATGAAGATGGTGAATGGAGAGAAGAATGGGAAGACGTATGAACTAATACAAAGTTGAAGAACCAGGAAATATACATAATGACAATAACAATGTAAGTGGAAAGAACAACAGCATTAAACCAATTCACACTAAATGCTGTGAAATTATAATGATTAAACCTGGCCCCAAAGAAAAGGTAGGAAAATACACAGCCTTCCTCTCTTCTTAGACAGGAGTGGAGGAAACATTATGTATGATAATAGATTTGCTTAATGAGTTAGTTTTGCCAGAGAATTTTTTCCCCTTGCTTTATATAAGTTGTTGTAAGGAGGACTCTTTGGGAGCAGGAAGGGGAAGGATATTTTAGGAAACATAGGTGAGGTTAAGATAGCAATTTTTAAGAAGATACCTAAAAACAAAACAAAACATATACTTAACATGAGGAAATCTAGGCGTTAGAGCAGCGAAATAGGGTTCAGAGCATTTGAATAAAAGTCCATGGAGGCAGAAACAGAAGCAGTGTTGTCATTGGTATAAACTACATACCATATGGACATAAAAAGGTCAGGTAACCGATCATAAGCTTGTTACAGAGGTATGGGTGCTTATGAGAGATAAATACTGGAATACTTGCTTTATTTGTGAAAAGCAGAGATCAAATTTCTTGATAACAATAATAATTGCATGTCTTAAAAGGTAGAGAAACTAACAACGGGGAGAATTCTATTTGGGAATCTGATTCTTTTGAATAGGGCGGTACTACTAATGGAAGTGGAAATTACAGTTATCTTGTAGGGGAGTGAATACTCCCTTTATAGTTAGGACAAAGCGAAATATCAAAACACACATGCCTGGATTTTGGCATGTTTCAAAGGATTCAAAAGAAGGAACAGATGAGATTACGTGGCTTAAAAGTTAGCCCAGGAGGGGATAGGAAACTAAAAAAATGAAATCCTGAAGAGAAACAATACTGAGAATGAGAGAAGGGGTGGGAAGGCAGCAGTTTTAGATTTTTTTTTCTTTTAGGCAGTTGGGGTTAAGTGACTTGTGCAGGGTCACACAGCTAGTTAGTGACAAGTGGTTGGTCTGCGGCAGGATTTGAACTCAGCTCCTCCTGGCTTCAGGGCCAGTGCTGTATCCACTGTGCCACCTAGCTGCCCTAGCACTCTAGATTTTTAAAAGACATGTACACTGACCTAAGGATCCCTTCTACAATGGCCCCAGCAAATAAGCTGCAGCTTTTTATAAATGGTAAATAAAGTTCATTTATTTTCCTTTCATTTGTTGCTTTTTTAAAATAAGTTTTTATTGATGTTTTCTGTTTCTTATGTTGTAATAGTTATCCCAAGTATCCCTCCATGTCTCATAGAGCCATTCCATATAACAAAGTATTCTTTTGGAGAGGAAAAAAATCAGCACAACTCAACAATACATTGAAAAAGCCTGAAAATGTCTATCGTGTGATACCTGTAGACCTCCTATTTCCATGAAGAGGTGGGTTGGGAGTATGTTCTCATCTCTTCATTTAAGTCCCGCTTCACCTTGGTGGTTTGGTTGCACCCTTTTCATTTTTGGGGTGGGGGTTGTCATTGTTCTGTTTGTATCGTTGTAGTTACATATTGTTTTCTTGGCTCAGCTTACTTCACTGCGTCAGTTCACATAGTTCTTTTCCGTGCTTCTCTGTATTCATCGCACACATTATTTCTTACAGCATAGTAATAGTCTGTTATATTCATATACCACAGTTTGTGTAGCCATTCCCCATTGATGGACATAATCTATTTTGTTTCCAATTCTTAACTGTCACAAAAAATGTTACCGTATTTTGTTGTATATGGTGACTTTTTTCTTAACGGTGGCTTCCTTGGAGTATAATGTAAGCCCAGTAATATAGTCTGTGGTTCATTGCTAACGGATATTTTAGTCATTTTATTTCAAATTGCTTTCCAGAGTGTTCACCATTTCACAGCCTTACCATTATTGTGTTATTGTGCCTATTATTCCACATCCTCTACAACATTGAATATTTCCCTTTTTTTTTGTCATTTTTTCCAGTTTGCAGAATATGAGATAAAACTTCAGGGTTGTTTTGATTTGCATTATTCTTATTATTTATGATTTGGTGTGTTTTTCACGTGGTTGTGAATACTTTTCTATTCTTTTTGAGAATCCTTTAATCTCATTTATTTCTATTTGGTTTGTAAGTTTCATGTAAAGGTCTTATCTCCCTCCCAGTATTATCAGTTGCATTAGGGACTATAGGTGTTTAAGTTATTCAGAAACTTTATAACTCAATAAATATTCGTTCATATAATACATTGAACATTTATTAAACCCTAACAGTATATAGAGAATTGCTTACATTCTAGGGGAAGATGAAAGGTTTATATTTGATGTAGTCCCAGATGTCAGAGGTGATGTAGTAGAAAGAGCAGTATATTTGGAGTGAGAACCCAGATTCTTATCCTTCCTTTATCACTTCCTGTGTGACCTTGGGCAAGTTACTTAAACTCTCTGGAGCCTCGTGGTTGGACTAGAAGGCCTCTAAGGTCTAAATTTGTGAGCCTATGTTCGTGTGGTCTATGATCCTGTAAAGCTTAGAGTCTCATTCTCAAATGCATCTGTAGTCTCATCAGTTTGTATATTCTCTCCAATGGTGCAAATTATTGGTAAACTAGCTATTCCTATGCTGCTTAATTTTTGCACATGGTTAGGAAAAAAAAGATATGTACAGAAGGTAGAAGCAAGGGAAGGTGATAGAGTGAGTATAAAAGCATGACACAGCTTTATATTTTGAGGAGTGGGGTAAAATCTGCAAGAATTGTGGTTCATGAGGAATTATGTTCAACCAAAAAAAGCCAATCAGGTATTTATCAAGTGCCTACTATGTACCAGGCACAGGGAATACAAAGAGAGTCAGAAAAAAATCCCTGCTCTCTAGGAGCTCACCGTCTAATGGGGAAGACAACATGTAAACATTTATGTACAAATAAGCTATTTGTAGTTGTTGAGACATTTTTTTGGTCATGTCCAACTCTCTTTGACCTCATTTGGAGTTTTCTTGTCAAAGATACTGGAGTGGTTTGCCATTTTTTTTTCTCCAGCTCATTTTATAGATGAAGAAACTGAGACAGACAGGGTGAAGTGACTTATCCAGGGTCATGAAGCTAGTAAGTATCTGAGGCCAGATTTGAACTCAGGAGGATGAGTCTTTCTGACTCTATCCACTGTAGCACCTAGCTGCTTCCCTAATAGACAGGATGAATTGAAGGTATCTTACAGGGAAGGTACCAACATTAAGGAGTATTAAGAAAGGCTGCAGTGGGATATTAGTTGAGACTTGAGGGAAGGTAGGAGATGAGAGAGAATTTCAGGCATGAGGGACAGCTAGTGAAAATGCCTACATTTGGGAGATGGGTTATATAATGCAAGGAACAGCAAGGCTAGATTTCAGAGTAAGGGGGCAGGGGTGAGTAAAGTCTGAAAAGATCAGAATGGAGGGAGGGAACAGGTTCTGAAAAACCTTGAATGCCGAACAGGATGACTCTTGAGATGATAAAGAGCCACAGGAATTTATTGAATAGAGGGCTAACAAAGTCAGTTCTATGTTTTAGGAAGATCGGTTTGACAGCTGAATTGGGAGATAGACTGGAATGGGGAGAAACTTGAGTCAGGGGGACCAACTGGCGGCCTGTTGTAATACTCTAGTCATGAGGTGATGAGGGCCTACAACAAGATGGTGTCAGTGAGTGAAGAGAGAAGAAAATATGTGTGAGAGGTTAGGAAGTTAACCAGAAAAAAAAAAGTTAATCTTGGCTCTGTTAGCTAAGGATGTGAGACTTCAAAGAAGGCATAGACTTGTTTCTCAGGGTATATGGGATGACCATAACCAGTGATGAAAAGATGGTAGAACTATGCTTCGCCTATTTTGCTTCTGTTTTCTATTCCAAGGAGAATAATCGTTGGTTTGAAAAAGACAAGTAACTAATTGGGAGTTCATAGAATTATGGAAGTTATGGACACTTAAGAGTCAGAGGACCTGGGTTCTACCACTTATTATAAAGGGAAATCATTTAATCTTTTTAGGCCTCAGTTTCTTCAACTGTAAACTTAGGGTGAGTAAAATGTGAAAAGATCGGAATGGAAGGAGGGAACAGGTTATGAAAAACCTTGAAGAGGAGATTGCTAAATGTTCCAATTTTCAAAAATGGAAGAGAGTAGAATCTACTAGATCAAGGGAGCGTGATGTCTATTTTTGGTAAAATTCTTTTACCCTGAAAGGATGGTTAGTCAGCATGTAGAAAAAGAAGCTGTAATTACCGTGAGCCAAAATGACTTTATAATGAACAGCTCATGCTACACTAATCTTATTTTCTTTTCTGTCAGGCAGTCAATCAACAAACATTTATTAAGCACTCATTTTATATGTCAGGCACAATGCAAAGCTTGGGATACAAAGGAAGGCAAAAACAGTCCTTGTCCTCAAGTAACATACATTATCATGAGAAAGACATACAGATAACTAGATACATTCAAGATATCTAAAGAGTAGAGGGAAGGTAATCTGAGAGGGGAAGATAACTAGCAGGAGACTAGCAAAGGTCACCTACAAAAGGTGAGACTTATGCTGAGTCTTGAAGGAAGTATTTTCTGACAGTGTTGCTGAATTGATATATTAGAGAAATGCTCTATAGTTTAATTAGATCTTAGGAAAGTATTTGACAGTGCTATGCTATTCTTGCAGAAAAATGAAGTGATATAAGCTAGAAGATGGGCTTTGGAATTGGTTGCCTGGCCAGCTCAATGAGTATTTGTTAATAATTCAGTGCCATCATGGAAGAACTTGAGTAGGTTAATCCAGGGATCTGTGCTTGGCTCTGTGCTCTTTTAATATTCTGTTATCAATGTCTTGAATAAAGATAGAGATGGCATCTTTATTGTGTTTGAAAGTGACATAAAACTTGGAAGAATTATGTAGCTGCTACTTAAGATGACAGATAAAGGACCTAAAAAAAATCTTCACAAAGTTTACATTTGCTTCTAGAAACCTGGAGCTTACTGAGTAGGGGAGTGACATCAGATCTGCTGTTAAGGAAGATCACTGGCAGCAATATATAGGATGGATTGGAGTAAGGGGAGAGACTTGTGGCAGAGAATCTGGGAGTTTTAGTGCATTGAAAGCACATTACGAATCAGCAGTTTGATATCTCATCTAAAAAAAAACCCAATGCAATATGATCTGACACAATATTCAAGCTAGGCCTAGTTTGCGAGAATAAACAGATAATGGCTTCATTGTACTCTGCCCTGGCCACACTGGATCATGGCATTGTGGTCAGTTCTAGGCACAGTGTTTTCAAAACATTGCCAATAAATTACAATGTCTGGAGAATGGTGACCAGGCCATAAGAGAAGCAATGGAAGGAATTGTAGATGTTTAGCCCAGAGAAGAGATTATTTAGAAATACATGGTAATTGTCTTTGTGATTTTGAAGGGCTGTCATCTGGAAAAAAGGGTTCTTTTGCTTGGCTCCAGAGAGTAGAGTTAAAAGCAATGGATTGAAGTTGCTTAGAGGTGGATTTAGCTTCAGTATAAGGAAAAACTGCCCTACCGTTAGAACTATGCAAAGTAGATAGAACAGGCTGCCTTGGGGGAGATACACACACACACACACACACACACACACACACACACACACACACACAAAAGAGCTTATCATTTATTGTCTATTTCATTAAGGCATTCCCTGGGGCAAACCAAATATCACTTTAAAAATTCTCTTATTTTTTAAAAAATTATATAGATTCTGTGACAGATTTCATCAAAGATAAGCTTGTTCAAATATCTATTACATGATAACATCAAGCAAGGCTCAAAACACTTAAGCTCTTTGCCAAACTATGGAGGACGTGGTGTGTGGAATCTGAAACGATGAGGGGTTCCCAATTACTGATGATGGTATTTCCATGGATCACAGACAGTGCACTTTTTGCATGAAGCCCTGGGATGTTGCAGTGACTCAGCGGTGACATTCATGGCCATTTGAAAAAGAATGACCTGCTCAGCTACATTGCAGAAGGAAAGTGAGCAAATCCATGGTATGTAGATTACTGCTTGCATTTGGATAGGCAGTTCATTGAGTTAGTCCACACACACATACACACACACACACACACACACAATATATGTATACATTTATACATATATACATACACGTATACACACACATATATCTTGAATAGGTGCCAATCGTCTTTGGGGGATTTATGGAAAGAAGTGAATTAAAAAAATTACATAAGGGACCAGCCCTGAAGTCAGGAGGACCTGAGTTCAAATCCAGCCTCATACCAAACACTTGACACTCACTAGCTGTGTGACCCTGGGCAAGTCACTTAATGCCAATAACCCCCCCCAAAAAAAAAAATCTGGGGCAGCTAGGTGGTACAGTGGATAGAGCACTGGCCCTGGATTCAGGAGGACCTGAGTTCAAATCCGGCCTCAGACACATAACACTTACTAGCTGTGTGACCCTGGGCAAGTCACTCAACCCCATTGCCTAACCAAATTAAAAAAAAAATTATATAAGATGAGAAGACATTCATGGAAAGATTGGAATTTGTACAAATGGAGGGAGTTTCCAAATCATGAGATAACAGATCATTGAAGTAACATTTTGCAAATAGCTTTTTAAAAAATCCCCAGGATACTGCTTCCAAGTCATACTACTTTCTCTTGCTTTAGAGGTTTCATGCTGATGAACTTTAAGGTAAAGAGAGAATGTAGTACTCAGAAATGTATGGTTTAGGAAGAAATCCAGTCGAATTGTGGAAATACTATGTCACTTTTAAAAAAATTGTTTTTGCCTGTTTCTTGAAAATTAATACATCTCCCTCTGCAAACAGATGGAACTGATTTATAAACTCAATTACTGCTCTAATTTCTGGAATTGTTTAGTGTTCTTTTTTCCTTAGGCCCTTTTAGTTCCTGTTTTATTTTTCAGCATTTACTAAGCACCACTAAGTTCTGCATTTAGAAGGATAATTCTGTTTAAAGTAGACTCAATTCTAGGCCCTACTGTTGATGAGATTTTAATTCTTAACACATATAAAGAACCCTTTTTTATCTAAGCCTATTGTTTTTCATCACATTTGTTTCTGAATCTATCACTGCTTTCCTTTACCTTGTGAATAATGACTTGAAACAAAGATCTAAAAAAAAAGGGGAGGGAGCAGTTCATTAAAATTAATACATAGAACATAGCTTACAATATGTACAGTATTCCACACACCCAGTAGTCCCTTGCCTCTGCAATTAAGAGAAAGAAATGCATTTTCTCAACTCTAGAATGTGTTTTTCTAGAAACAGTAGAAAATTAACATTGTCTGAAAAGTAAATTTTTTTTAAAATTTGGAGCAGACCTTGAATTTTTATAGTGATGTTTTTACATATGATTGTATAGTACTCTATCTTTTGTCTTGAGTTTGTGAGTTAGGCACTTAATTTTGTGAGTTAGGTGCTTAGAAATATCAATCTTCCATGATGCTGCAAATATAAAGTAATGTACAAAATGGTACTGTGGTGATATGGAAGAGTTAAGGAAATTTTTTTTTTTATAAGCAGGGAGTAACCTAAGCATTGGGAAAAATAGATTCCAGTGAGTAAAATATTGTTATAGCAATGTCTGGGTAGGCAAACAAAGTGGCTCTTATATGCTCCTCAATGGGTGCTTACAACAGCTTTGGACACTAGGACCGTTTATTGAGGGAAGAAATGCTAGCTAAGATGGCCTAGCTATTCTCTGTCCTTTTTTAGATTTAAAAAATGCTGTATCAGCTTTTGTTTTGAAACAGGAAGAAGGAAACTTGGTACAGAGTCTTAGAATGGAGGTACTTTCCTCGGTACCACATACCGAGTTTGAGCTTTGGTCCTTGGTTGGTGTTTTAATACCCAATCTAATATTTTACTTTTTAGGGGAGATTTAACTGGATTTGTAGGTTATTAAAAACATGATTTGGTTTTGAAATTATAAAGTAAAAAATCTTACACTTTGACATCTTTTTAGAGTTAATAGGAAATTCTCCATTTGATGAATAAGATTCTTTGTTTTAGTGAATTCTTTGAATGATATGGATTTTCATAACTGAGGATGGAACTGGATGGTATTTGGATGTAAGTAAGACTAGTTATCTTTGTTAACCTCGTCAGACTGAAGAGTGGATGGGTGAAAGTGGTAGCAGGTTATGCCCACTCTTAGATACAGATTGGCTCAATTAGAGCTTTAATTGTGTTCAGAAGACCTTTTAAATTGTAACTACTTTAATTCTTCCTACAGCCTATCCATACCCTTTCATCCTGTGTTCTTCTGATATTGTGTAGATATAGCACATTGGCTGTCTAACTTCTGACCTCATTAAAGAAAGCAAACTGCCTGCTCTTTTTTCAGTTATGATGCTATTGTAACAATAGATTTTCTTTTTCAGAGCAAAATAGGATATAACTTAAAAGTACTGAAGGTTTCTAGAGAGGATGACACCTTCTTAGACTGACCCCTTACTTTCACTCTGCATATACTATTAGTTATCTTCTTGTGTTGAAGATGATCCTACCCACAAAGCACTCTATAAAAGAAAGAATCATTGCTGTTCTAAGTCTAAAAAGATAACTTCAAAGAATAAGGTTTTGAACTTTATTTATGCAAGATGTAATACACAGTGCCATGAGAGCAAGGACTGATTCTTACTCTTATTTTTTATTCCCTAGCCTATCCTTTAAAAAGCATTTTAAAATATTTTATTTCATTTAAGTCTTAACCACAAGGTTAAAGAAGGTAGAACAGATATTACTTTACCTATTTTCTGAAAGAAAAAAAAAACACTCTGGGCCTCAGGTGAGTGATTTGGAATTATTTTTGGAGGAAGAAATGGGATTCTCATTCTTCAGGTCACATTAATAACTATAAGATACCATACTATATACCACCTGGAGGATGTTAATTGTCTTAGTGCCCTGATAGAATTATCTTATAAAAAATACCCAAATAATTACCAGGAAGGATTGTACCTTGGGAGCTATATTCCCTAACACCTGTCTTTGTACCCTGCTTATGTTGTTCACTCTTCAGATAGCTCATTCAGAGCTTTATACTTTCTAAATTTTTGGTGCAAGCAGTGGTTTTAATGTATCAATGGGAAAAATATCTTATTGGAAGTTGGATGTGGTGGTACAGGGCTGTCGTCTCTGCTATTGGAGAAGCTGAGGTTTTTTGGGAATTCTGAGCTGTAGGGAGGGCTAAAGGTGTTTGAGGACCCTCACTGAGAGAGCACTGAAATGGCAAGCTCCCCCAGAAGCGATGGCCACCAGACTGCCTAAGGAGGGGTGAACTGGAGCAGATCAGAAAAATGGAGCAAGTTAAAGCTTCTATGCTAGTCAGTTTTGGAAATGGGGCCCTTGAGTTGCCTCTGTACTTCCAACCTAAGTGAGAGGAGCTGCAGGCTCCTACTATGCCCAACCCTCATTGATAATGCAGAATTTTGTTATAACTACCTGAACAAATGCTTTTTGGTGATCAATGAACAATAAACACAATAGAATCTAAATTCACAGTGTCTTTTAGTTTATTGTTAAATGATAAAGATATGGGCTGTTTTGGAATATTGCTTGCATCTATCTCCTTATCTCCTATCCCCATCCAGGATGACCTAAATTTTATGTAGAGATGACTCTTAAAAAGATTCAATATAACTTGGAGAGTAGGCATAGAAGTTGGTAGTTTTTGAGGTTCTCTCAGTTGCCTTTGGAGGGGAAGGTAGTATTAACAGGATCTGATTTTTTTTCCATACCTTTATTCTCTTCTTTAGATTATGAGTAGATTGGTTCTTCCTTGCTCTCCCAGTTGTGTAATGTCCAGCATGCTGCTTCTTATATATACTCGGTCAAGTCTAGCTGCTTTTCCATTTTTGTTCCTTTGGAGCCATTTCTACTCCTTTTGTATAGGGGAATGGAGAGGCTCAATGGTGAGTGCAGGAAGAATATAACAGAAGTAACCAGTGCAGAACTATGAGAGCAGCTCTTGTGATATTAGTGTTTTCTAATTTTGCAGATGAGAAAACAGGCTTAGAGAGATTGTGACTTCCCTAATGAGGTTCATATACTTAATAAAACTGTAGAGATTTAGACTTGATACAAAGCTTCTGATTATGCTGGCTCTCATTCTTGGATAAATGTGCGTTTTTCCCCCATCTCTTGCTTACTTCTGGTCAAAGATAGTGCTTCTTAGACTTTGCTCCAGTCCAGAGCATCTCCTCAACCATTTACTTTTTCATTTATTACCAATTGTTATTGCACAACAAGCAATGTCCAAACATAATTCTCTAAACCTTTCACATTTTTCTTTGTAAGGTAAGAGAAGAAGTCTCAGGAGAATAGGTTGGGTTAGAGCTAAAGTATTTTAGTACAGATTTGGGAAAGGAAGTAGAGAAAGAGATTGAAAGAATAGAGAACAAAGTGTTAGATGTAGAGGTAGGATTCGAAGTAGGTAGGCAGCTACTACAGGAAGAATATTTCTAAATATGACAATTCGTAAATTGCATGTATTTTAAGGACTAAAAAAATCCACGGGCAGGACTCATTGGTATTTATTTTGTGATGAGCCAGGTTGCTTGTGTTAACCAGGATGGCTCAAAGCCTTTCTTTAGAAGGCCATATAACATAGAGGGTCTACAATTTGTGAATTGTTTTTTGTTTCTTTTCTCTTCTTAAAAATTCACGCTTTCTTGTTATTATATATTATGCCTTTTAGGTATTATAAATTCATATTCTTTTGCCTTCTGAATCTGTTAAAAATGATACTTGAGAGAGCTGCAATCTTCAAACTTTTCCTAGGGCCAACAGGAATTATTCATCCTGAGGCTTCCTCTAATTATCTTTCCTTCAAACATCCCTTTATCTAAAAGGGAGTGCTTTATACTTGGAAACAATAGATCTTAACTGTTGTTTTTATAAATGCTGAATTAGTGGCCCAGTGGTTTCTTTCCAAGTCTTAAAGTCACACATAGTCAATCTGTTTTTCTTTCTTACCCCTTCTTCTCTGCTGGCTGTA